GCACACTTGACGGAGCTCTTTCTGGGCTCACACTAGCCCCGGGCAAGGCAGATGTCCTGGGGGTGAGGGGGAGTGAGCCTGTTCCTTTAGGATCTTACCATTTCAGAGGACTCCTTTGCTTGGAGTACCTGGCTCTCCACAGCACATGAGGTCTCTGAGCTGGGCCATACTGTCCCTTAGGAAGGATGTTCCCACTTTGGTCCTCATCTAGTCGCCTCCCTGCCATCCACCCTCTCCTTCAGGAATTTTAGCTTAAGTCAGGGCTCTGTATGCAAAATGTAAATTGCTCACAGCTCCTCCCAATCCCTTCCAGTTGTCTGTGCCCTTCCCATTTCCAAAAGGACCACGAACCATCATGGAACAGCATCGAAGATCCCATCCCCTTTCCCTGGCTAAGCCCACGTGACCAACACCAGACAGGCTGTGCCCGCAGTAGAAGACCTTCGGCTATTTCTGTGTTATCCAGTGCTGAGATGAGAGCGAGTCTTTCAAGCTTGTCGCCTGGACCCCTCTGGCCCTGAATATCAAGTCACATTCCTCCCTCTGGCTCTTTTCTTTCATACAGTGTTCAAAATACCTCCCTCTCTTCTTCTTTCTCCCCAATAAGGTCTCACATAGCCCAGGATGACCTCACTCACTTTGAACTGATCCTACTGCCTCCACCTCCCAAGTGCTGGGATTACAGGAACACGCCACCGTACGTGGTTTATAGGGTGTACAGGATGAAACTCGGGGCCTTGTGCATGGAGGACAAGCAAGCCTTCTGCCAATTGAGCAATGTCCTCGGCCTGCTTTGTGTTTTGATTCTCTGGCCTGGAAGGTAATCTGGAGATTTATATCAAACAGAAAGACTAGAAACAGGCAAATGTGGGAAGGGAAGAGCCCCATACCCTCGCCATCTATGTCTGGCTGAGTCACCAGTTCTGACACAGCTCGCTGGAGACTCCCCCACACAGAAACTACACACACAAAGAACACTCCCTGAAAATATTGCAGGATGATTAAGACATCCAATGAACATGCTTGGGTCTCTTTCTTGGGTCTTAGCAAAATTACTTTGATTTTTAAAAGTTGTTTTGGTTCAAGGTTTATAGTAACCACATTTTCCCCTTGGATACCTCCCTGTTCGTGAATCACCTTATAATTTCACCTAAAGAAAAAAATGTGTGAGCTTAGAGAAATGGCTCAGCCGATATGAGGCCTCCCCACTCTGGCAGGGGACTAGAGTTCCATTTCAGAAACCCACACCACATGGCTCACAGCTGCCGGCATAACTGCGGCTCTGGGACAGCCAATGCTCTCCTCTGACTTCTCGTGGCACCTGCACAACAGAGAGACACAAACAAGACGGAAATAAACCTAAAACAACAACAAAGCCCAGCATCTTACTGTAAGGAAATAAGACCAACACTTTAAAATTCTCCTGCAGCCTTGGTTGATAGAGAACCTTTTAACAGTGTAGCTATGAAAGCCCCTACCTAGATCCTGTCTACACTGGTGGTTCTTGTCCTCATGTCTGCATTTGACTTTGCTTAAGTGTTTGTCCTTCTGCTTAATTGGTAGACTTGAAGCTTTGCTTGGAGCTCGAACTCTTTAAGTCCTGAACTTTTATCTTTAATTTTTATTTTATTTATTGTTATTGTTGTGTGTGTGTGTGTGTGTGTGTGTGTGTGTGCGTGTGCATGCCATGGTTTGCATATTGGAGTCAGAAAACAACTTGGGAGTAAGATTGCTCCTTCTACTGAGATCAGGAGATTGAACTCAGGCGGTCAGGCTTAGAGCTTAACCACAAACAGGTTAAGCCATGGAGCCATCTTGGTGGCTTGAAGTTTGTTTCTACATAGAAAGGCAAGATCTTTCTATGTCTCAACACAGGCCACTGAAGCTCTGAGGGGGGACTCCCCAGGGTGTGCACCCAGGCAGTGTAGAGTCCTATCCTTCCTGTAGATGACTTGGCCGATGGTCGGGGAGAGAAGCTGAAGGCTCCCAGACTCAGGCTGGACAGACATTCCATAGTGTCTTCTGAATTAGCTGACACTTGGCAGGTGCATGGGAGAGAAACCACGTTATTAACTGTTGATGTGGGAACAGAAGAGTGACTACCCATGGGTGTGATGAGAGCTGAGGGCTTACATTCTGCCCTCGTGGGGGAAAGGCAGGTGCAGTTCACTTGCTGGAGATCAGCAGGTCCTTGGAGGGATACACAGGAGATTGAGGAGGCTCTGGCAGTTTGTCTGCGGCCTGTGAAAGTCCATCTTCTCTGGTTGATGAATCTCTGTTCATGGCAGTCCAGTTCCCTGGGCAAACCCGCCTGCAGGCAGCTACGGGAAAGGGCAAAGGAAATCTCTTCTGTGTTTGCTGTTTTCCAAGTGCTTTCAATGCAAAATTAAACAGCGCACCAAAATGGCGTATTCTTGGATTCTATCTGTTGGTTTCTTTCACCGCTGTGTACCCCACTGATCGAGAATAAGACCACTGCAATGTGTAAAGCCAAATTTGAAACAAGCTTTAATCAAATACTGGCCAGGTACATATCCAAGTTCCCTGGAAATGGTCCGGCAAAGGCTTAAGAACGAAAATTAATAAATATGTTTGGGTCTAGTGAAGGAAGAGCCACAAATCAACTCTAGATCCAGCCTTCAAATAAAATAGAATAGTATGAAGCAAGTGTATTGTTATCTACACTAGAAAGACACCCAAACTCCTTCTTGCTAATCTGAATTCAGTGACCAGAGAGCTCAGAGATAAATTCTGAGCCCCAACCATAAATGCAGCCACGTGGTCACTGGCAACTGGCACACATCAGCAGCAAAAATATCTGATCCATTTCTGTCTCAGCTCCATGTTTGCAACAAAACTTACAAACACACCAGAAAACAAAGACAAAACTTTCCAACAAAACAGAGAAAAATAGACAAAACTTCCTAAGAAGACAAGCAAAACTTTTCATGGGAAACAAAAACTTTCCAACCAGAACCAGAAACAAATGGGTGGGTGATGTCTAGCTATATGCCCTGGATGGGAGAATACTGGGGTTTTGTCGAACCCGCTCCACATCTGGGTGATGTCTAGCTATATGTTCATAAGCTTTTAATATGTCTAAAATTTATTTTTTTCAAAAGCTCCAGGGAGCCAATTGGACCTATCTAAACGGACCAGACTCGCCCAGGATAAGTATTATTTAATTCTTCCCTTATCATTCCTGGTCTCGGAAACTCCTGGGAAATTCCCTCCTCCACCCCTCCCCTCAAAACCTCCATCTTCCTTCCATCTTGGGACTCTCTTCCCTTAATCACCGGGATCTAAAATTTGTCCAGTCATAATTTTCTGCCTTTACAGCATCTTGCGAGGTCCAAGCTGCCAGCCAGCCAGTTCCACAGAGCCCCCCAAAACACAAAAGTAATCAGCCACCCCAGGACATGGTCAAGCACCTCAACTCTTCAATGCCCACAAAATCAGCAAAAAGCAGTCTCAAGAGACCTGACGACGCCTCATTCCCACCCTTTAAAGACCCCAAACTCCCCAAATTTTATAATAAACAAAAGAGTGAAATGTTATGATTTTAGCTAGCCAGCACGGCTGGCACTTCCAGGTTCCAGGGCCACACACGTGCGGACAAGCTCTCAGGCAAAAATATGCACGACATGGTTGCATCACCTACGTATGACGGAGCTACGTAAGCTCTCACACGCATGTGAGCTCTGTCATCTGCGTATGATGTAGCTACATCATCCACCTGAGCGCATGTGCTAGGCAGCCCTTAAAAGCTGGATGTACCATCTTCAGCCCTCTCTCTCTGCACACCGACTTCACCAGGCCTGTACACGTCTCCTCTAATAAACTCCTAAGTGGGTTTGTTGCTTCATGCTTCCTTCTCACTCACGCCAGGCAAATTCACAGGTGATACTTGATCACTTACAGCCAGTATGGATTGGGTCAAACAAACTTGTTTAGGGGGATGAAAATATGTGGCTTGTCATTGTCCGTAAGCAAACGCCTCCAGCATTTCAGGGACTATCTGGGCAAGGGGCTTGTCAATCAGAGCATTTTTGTTCCATTGATCTCTAAGGCATAGTAATTAAAACTTAAAATGCAACTTCGACGCTTACAACTGCTTCAAAGTTTTAATGGTTTTCTGCAACTTTTTGCATTACTTTTTATTTTTATGTGTCTGAGTGCTTCGCCTACACGTATGTATGTGAACCACATGTGTGACTGCTACCTGTGGAAGCCAAAAGATTCCGATCCCTTAGAACTGGAGTTACAGAGTTTGTGAGCCACTGCGGGGGTGCTGAGGACAAGAGCAGGCAGCCAGTTCTCTTAACGACTCTGAGCCATCTTTCCAGACCCCACTTTTTAATTTTTAAAACACAGCACTTGGGAGTTATTTATCTCGATTCCTGAGGTTTTGGGTGTGCCGGTACATGCTGACCCACAAGAGTTCCTCCTCAAGCTTGGCAGGGAGATGGAACTCTCCTATTGTAGAAACTTCTGGAACCGTGCAGGGCCTGCACAGCTTTAATACTCTGGCTCTACTCGTGCAACATTGAGACCTGCCCTCAATTTTCTTCCAGAACTTCAGGATATAGGCGGTGGAGGTACACACCTAGAACACAAGGGCCCTGGCTCTCTACAGCCGGCCTATTCCGGCTAGGGGACAGAATAGCTCTTCACCTAACTCACTCCTCTTCAGAGGCATCTTCTAAACTGGACTGGAGCGTCCGTAGGCAAAGAGGGCGTGCCTTTTGGCTTGGGAGGGCGGGTCAGAGATGGCCGGCTGCAGCCTGGAAAGCTGTAAGGCTTTTCTGGAGAGCGGAGGGGCGTGTTTGGAGAGGTGTGGGGGGGAAATGGGCGTGGCAAAGCCCTAGTGGGCGGGGTAGGCGGGTGTAGGATGTAGCTGGGCGGTTTGCACAAGGGTGGGGCCCGGCTCCTGTGGACGCGGTGGGGCGGGGCTGGTGGGCGGGACAGAACTCGGTGCCGCGGAACAGCACAGGGGTGTACTCGGTGGGGTGGAATGGGGCGCTTGCGTGGGGTGGGATATGGCGGAGCTGAACAGGTCCTGGGTGTCTGGACAGGTCCTGGGTGAGCGAGACAGGACGTAGGTGGGCGAGCTGGAGCGGGACAGGGCTCAGGTGGATGATGAGGGGCGCTGGTGAGTAGAGGGGGTCGTGGGTAGGCAAGACAGGATGGGGTAGAGTAGAAGGTAGGAGGGGTTGATAGCGTGACTGCTTCTGGAGCAGGGCACCCAGCTGTCACTGCTGCGGCCGCTGCTTCTGGAATAACTGGAGAATGCTAGCTCCTCCCGTGGGCTCAAGGTGAGCTGCTCCGCGAGAGGCGGGGCTGCAAGGCGCCGGTTGCTGCGAGAGGTTCTGCGTGCTCTGCCCACAGACGGGTGGCAGCATAGCCCAGGGACTGGTCTCTTAGTGGTGTCTTCCACAAGCCAGGGGTCCAGGGCTATGGTGGACGTGCTGAGTGGGCGGCGCCTGGTGACCCGCGAGGGCGCGGTGGTGGAGGCGGAGGCCGCGCTACAGAACAAGGTGGTAGCCCTGTACTTTGCAGCGGGCCGATGCGCCCCCAGCCGCGACTTCACGCCGCTGCTCTGCGACTTCTACACGGCGCTGGTGAGCGAGGCACGGCGGCCTGCACCCTTCGAGGTGGTGTTCGTGTCGGCGGACGGCAGCGCCGAGGAGATGCTGGACTTCATGCGCGAGCTGCACGGCGCCTGGCTGGCACTGCCCTTCCACGACCCCTACAGGCAGTGAGTGGGAACCCGGTGGACATGGGCACCGGGCCGGAGCTCTGGCTCGTCCAGACCTCCTCTCCTTCACCATGCTGCTCTTTCAGACTCTGGTCCTTAACTTCCTACCCCGCCTTTTGTCCTGTTCAGAAAAAATCGACCCCAGTGCGGGTCAACTCCACGGAGTTTTGGTTTCAGCATCCACGGGAATCCAGCCCTGCAGTGCTTCTGCCTTTCATGTTTGGGGTTTCAGAAATCCCCACGCCCCAGGAGTTCCGGGGCTGGTCCTGATGCTAGCTTGCATCTCTTAGCTAGTCTTCTTGATAAGTGTTCAGGAGGAAGGGAGGGAAGCCACCGACCTGAGTGGGAGCTGCTGATCGCAGCCTGTGTCCACAGAGCTGCTTTGGGGGCGGGTACTCTGGGGAAGGGGCGGGGCCCAGAGCGGGAGGTGTTGACCATCTTTGTGATTTTAGTTTTACTGATAACGATGAGGTTCGGTAACTATGAGTTTCAGTAATATGAACGCTATTGCAATACGTGTAGGAGGAAAGAGGGAGGGATGGGCAGATGTTAGAGCAGGCGAGGCTGGAGAGTTCAACGAAAAGAGTCCCAGGGAAGAGCAAAGCATGGCCCGGTACTGGGAGCACCACGGTGGTGGTGGTGGTGGTGGTGGTGGTATCTCCTGTGATGGGAGAGTTCAGATGGAGGTCTCAGCACACGCCCCCACCCCGCCCCCTTCTAAAACAGATGTCAGTTTATGGGTATCCTCTGGTTCTGGTCTTGGGCTTGTTATCCAGCTGCGGTGCTACCTATGAGTCCTTTCTGAAAAAACGAAGCATAGGCAACTTTGCGACATTCCGTAGATTCATAACAACTCTTATTCTGTGTTTGTTTGTGGGTGCATTTGTGGGTGCATGCCAGTAGAGATCAGAGGACAATCTCTGCGTTATTTCTCAAATGTCATCCACCTTGCTTTTTGAGACAGGGTCTCTAACTGTCCTGGAAATCACTGAGTTGGCTAGGCTGGTGGGCCAGGGAGCTCGGGATCCACCAGTCTCTGCTCACCGCCCCACCTCCCGACTCCCGCGCCAGCTCTGGGATTACAAGTGAACCATCTTTTTATGTGGTTTCGAGGTCTGACTCTATGTCTGCATGCTTGCAAAGCACTTTACTGACTGAGCCATCTCCCCTGCTTTTCCTAAACTCATTCTCTTTGGTGATTCCCGGGGAGGTGGAGAGCCCAGGGGAAGCTGCTTAGCTTTGGAGGTTATGAGACCTCACTCACGCCAGCACCATGAAAATCCCATTGATAGTAAGTCTAAGTGACAGCTGATTACCTTTGTCTGAGGACGCACTTGAGGAGGGCTTTGCGTGATGAGATTTGAAATGGGGTCCGACTACTGCAGGCACTCAATTATGCATAGCTTGTGAAAGGACACACTTGTTTTGCAGCTGAGATGGTGATGGTGTTGGTAATTAGGCAGAGAGCTCAGGTTCCACCCCCATCCCTACCCCCAGAGACTAAGGCTCTCGGTTCCCCATGAGGATTGTGGGAAAGCAGTTTTATGGCTGAGTAAAGAGATGTGTGAAGAATGGGTTGACCTCATCTGTGAAAGGGATCTGTATTTATTCCCTTTCTAATTGCAGTGGTAAAATATTTGACAAACCAACTGCAGAGAAGCTGGGGCGGAGGCTCAATGAATAAGACGGCAAGTGTGAAGCTGTGAGTTCAAATCTCCAGCACTTAAATTAAAACAAAAAGCAGACATGGCTGCATGTACTTGTAACCAACACCCCGGCAATGGATGGATCTAGTCAGCCGGATCCTGGGAACGCGCTGGCCAGCCAGTCTGGCTGAAACAGCCAGCCGCAGTGGTTCAGTGGAAAAAACCTATCTCCAGAGAATAACGCGGGGAGTCAAAAGACACCCGCTGTATCCCTCCGGCCTCGGTGCACCGCCCTTCCCACGGAATAAAAGAAACTAAGGGAGAAGGGTTTATTTGGCTTCACAGTTTGAAAGTGGTCTGTTACTGTAGCAGAAGCATGAGGAAGTGGGTCACTTTGTGCCTGCAGTGTGGAGCCAGAGAGAAAGCAACGCTGGTGCCAAACTTACTTTGTCCTTTCCGTTCATCCAGTCAGGACCCCAGCCCGTGGAATGGTGCCTCCCACTGTTAATGGGGTTCTTTTGAACTCAGTTAAAACAATCTACAAGTCTCCCCACAAATTTGTCCAGAAGTTTGCCTCCTAGGTGACTGTAGATCCTGCCAAACTGACAATCGATACTAACCATCCCAGGCTCCTCGCAGGGGCAGCTGGTGACAGATCAGCGTGCTGGCCTATGCCCTAATTCCCAGATGTGCTGCCGAGGCAGAGTCCAGTTCTCCTGGGGTCTCTCTTTGTGCCTTGGCTGAAGTCCTTTACCAGGGTGACTGGCCGCCCCATCTGTACCCTGACTCCCTTGAGAAGGGTGTTACTCTGGAGACCGCGTAGATTTCTTCCCTCCTCACTCATCTGCTCCCGAGCCTTTGTACTCCGGGTGAGGACAAATGAGCCCCTGTGAGCCAGGTTGGCCTGGCTCGCCTGGTCTTCATTTCTAGAGGGATTTTCCTTTTGCAAGCGTAGTTATCTGTCTTTGTCCTTCCTTCCTCAACGTTGATGTTTTTCTGTGCAAACCAGAAAGTAGAATATTCTGTGGGGATGCTAAGTCAGCTTGGATTTTTGGAAACAGGTCATGGGCCAAAGGAAAGGGGCCACCACTGGGGAGAAGGGAGCATTTCATGGAACATCCCGGAGGTGTTTGGGGGAGCTGCTCTCTGCTGTGGGGGGCAAGGCACAGGAAGCTCACAGAGGCCTCAACTGGGAAGTGACCCAGGAAGGGACCGTTCTGTAGCTTTCCCTCAGAAGCCTCTGTTACCTACTACTGTCCTCAATTCCTGAAGAGCCACCTGAGGGAGGAGAAGGGAATTTCTACTACCGAGAAAATCACTCGTGCCTGAGATTACCGTGGCATGGCTGGAGGCTGGGACGCCTGTAGGAAGGAAACACCCCGAGCCCTTACCTTGCCTTCCAAATTCTGTGGCTGCATTCCAGTGTAGCCCCGTCCCCTGACACAGCAACAGATACTGTGTTCAGTCCAGAGAGGCCTCTGTTTAATACCAGTGTGTCCCTGAAATGAGATCTGGGTGCTGTCTGGAGCGGTCTCGTCTGCGCGGATGTCCCGGTGCAGGTGACTGAGAAGAGGGCCTGTTAGCATGAGAAGGATTGCAGGGGCATGAACCAGTGCTCCCTGCAGGCATTTTCTCAGAGTGCCGGTTCCATCTTACCCCATTCTCAGTGACTGAGATTATCTGTCTAGGGAGAGATCCTCCTGCCTCAGCCTCCCTAGCATGGGCTTTACAGTTATGCATCAGCGGCAGAACCAGGTCTCAAAGCAGCTGCAGGCAGGCATGCTATAGGGTGCCCCTCCCAAGAGAACCCTTGAAGATCTTACAGTGACCTCCTTGCCATGCTGGTCCTCAAGGGCCGGATGTGGACAGATTCCAAGGTACCTAGCAGGCATCTTTCCCTTGTGCCAGCCCACCCTCTGCCTGCCTTCTTAGGATGTGGCTGGGTGTTGGGGAACCTCTCCTGCCCGCTGACATGTTTGGAACAGTAGAAGAGTAGACCAGCCTGGACTTCATTTCTTGGGTAGGCAGCGGCTTGGGGTTCTCTGATTCAGATCTCTAGGTCTCCCAGGTCTCCACTTCCCTGGCTCCTGAATCCAAGGCTCAACCTTGTTCCAAGTCCTCTTTAGATGAGGTCTCACAGTCTCCTTCTGTTGCCCAAGCTGGTCATAACTGCATGAGCTAAAGCAATCCCTCTGCCTCATCGAGTAGAAGGAACTACACGCTACTTGAGTTTTAGATAATTGCATTTATTTATAGTACCACAAGAATTTCATTGTATCTTCAACATGAAATTTATATATCTAAAGGGAACTGGTTCCTGGATCCCTTGTGGATGCTGAAACTGAAGGGAATTCACATCTCTCTATAAAACGGCGGAGTTTGCACAGAACCTAGACACACAGTCCCTTCTTCTCAGACCTGCAGCCGTGCTAACCTTCTGCTCTCCTGTCTTTAGTGAACTGAAGAAGAGGTACGACATCACAGTCATCCCCAAGCTGGTGGTCATCAAACCGAATGGAGCCGTCATCACCAACAAAGGGCGGAAACAGATCCGGGAGCGCGGGTTAGCTTGCTTTCAGAACTGGGTGGAAGCAGCTGATGTTTTCCAGAACTTCTTGGGGTGAATCTGGAGGGACCAGGGCAGGCGATTGCTGCAAGCGCAGACCAAACACCTTCGAAGAGGGAGTTGCTTGTTCTTTTCTCTGTTGGGGAATTTCATAGTAGTGGCACCAAAGTAGGACAAAAAGCAGATGCTGCCCAGGAAAGAAATACACCCTCCCTCTGCGGGTCCTAGAGCTCCTCTGGTGTGGACTTTTATTTTTATAGCTTTCTCCACCTGTGCCTAGGCCCCAGGACACATCGACAGTGTGCTATCAAAAAAATCTATGCAAGATGCTCATTCCTACAGGCGTCTTTGGTAAATTGATCTATGAGGGGATGGCATTTTCTGATGACATATCACATTTTAGTGATGCCTTGGTAAGCATATTTATTAATCACATTTGTAGAATGTGTAGTTTAATAAACCAGTACCCACACCTTGAGCAGCTCAGTTTTCTTGTTTTTCCTTCCAAACCGTGCATCAACAGAAGGACGAGTCTGTAAACACTGTGCTTAAGCTGGCATTCACCTGAGGGGGTGGTGCTAACTACGTACTTGGTCTTGGAAGATTTTTCTAACCTTTGTCTTTTCTCTCTTTCCCTCTTTCTTTCTTTTTTCTCTTTCTCCTTTTCTTCCTCCTTCTCTTCCTTCTTCTTCTTGTTTTTCTTCTCTTTGGAAGACTTATTTCCTCCCACAACCTTCTTCCCTCCTTTTTTTTTTGAATTGAGGATTGAGTCCACAGCCTTGCCCCTGCTAGGCAAGCACTCTATCTGCCCCTCTGTGAAAGTGTGTGTTTTATATATGTATGTGGTTGTGTGAGGGGGTATGCATGTACATGTGTGAGCATGTGGGCAGATGTCCAGTGCCTTTCCCAATGGTTCTTCACCTTTTTACATCTCGATGATTCTTTTTTAATAACGTGTACATGTGTGCCTATGTGTGTGCATGTGCCTGTAGAGGCCAAAAGAGGGCATCAGATGCCCTGGGGCTGGAGTTAGAGGTGACTGTGAGCTGTCTCCTAGAGGAGCAGCAATGGCTCTTAACCACTGGGCCATTTCTGCAGCTTCCTCGCCTTTTTCTTTTTATATAGTGCTGAGGAATCCCGGGCCTTGTGCATGCCAGGCAAGCACACTACTGCTGAGTTTTACCCCAAATCCTCTTCTCTGTTCTGAGAAGCCCCTCACCTGGAGTTCCCTGATTCAGCTAGGCTAGCCAGCCGTAAGCTGTCTCTACTCCCCAGAGCTGGAGTTACAGATGACACTGTCACCTCTGGCTTTACATGGTCCTAGGGATTCATTCAAGTCCTCATACGTGTACAACAGGCATGTTATCGAATGAACCATTACCCTATACCTTCACCAACGAGTCCCTCCCTTTTATCTTTTCTTTAATTTTAATTTTAAGTTTTTTTGGGATAGGGTTTCTCTGTAGCTTTAGAGCCTGTCCTAGAACTAACTCTGTAGACTAGACTGGCCTTGACCTTACAGGGATCTGCCTGTCTCTGCTTCCTGAGTGCTGGGATTGAAAGTGTATACCACCGTCTTGCCCGCTTTTATTTTCAATAGTATTGCAATAACATAGAAATTAATTCACATTTCAAAACTATAAACTCATGCTCTGAATACTGGCACTTTACTCAGTGGCAGTCTATATTTGCAACAGTGGCCCCAGAGGTTATAATGGGTAATATAATTTCATTATATTGTGAAATTTCTGTTGCCTGGTTAAATCTATGTTGTTTGTACTATTTTAAAATTACATAATACTTTCCACTGTGTGTCTTTGGTGGTTAATACTGGTAGCTGGACAGGATCTAGAATCACTCAAAGGACAAACTTCTAGATATCTGCGAGGGAGTTTCTAGGTTGGGTTAACTGAGGTGTGAAAACTCACCCTGGATTTGGGTGTCACTGTCCCGTGGGATGGGGTCTGTCTTAGTCATTGTTTTGTTGCTGTGAAGAGACACCATGACCAAGGCAACTCTTATGAATGAAACCTCATAACTGGCGGCTCGCAGTTTCCGAGGTTCAGTCCATTATTATCATGGTGGGAAGCATGCCTGCAAAAAGGCAGGAGCGGTAGCTGAGAACTACATCCTGACCCACAGGCAGAGGGAGAGACTCTGGGCTAGGCATGGGCTTTTGAAACCTCAAAGCCCACGCCCAGTGACACACTTCCTTCAACACACCGCACCGCTTAATCCTTTTAATACTTTCAAATAGTGTCGTTCTCTGGTGATTAAGCATTCAAATACAAGAGCCTGTGTGTGGTGTGTTAGATAGCTTTGAGAGGAGGGACCCTCAAATGAGAAAATACCTTCATAAGACCGGGCTGTAGGCAAGGCGGTAGGGCACTTCCTTAATTAGTGATTGATGGGGAAGAGCCCGGTCCATTGTGGGTAATGCTATCCCTTGGGCTGGTAGTCCTGGGTTCTATAAGAAATCAGGCTGAGGAAGTCATGAAGAGCAAGCCAGTAAGAAGTAGCCCACCACGGCCTCTGCATGAGCTCCTGCCCCCAGGTTTCTACCCTCTTTCAGTTCCTGTTCTGGTTTCCTTCAATGATGGGCTGCAATGTGGAAGTATAAGCCAAATAAATCCTTTCCTCCCCAACTTTCTTTTTGGTTGTGGTATTTTATAATAGTAACAGCAACCCAAGCTAAGACAGGACATTCTTATTCAAAACACCATAGCATCTCAGACTGAACAAAAATGAGAAAATGAGGACTGGGGAGTCAGTTCATTGGGTAAAGAGATCTCCGTGCAAGTGTGATGACCTAGATTCACATTCATAGAACTCACATAAAGCCAGGTGTGGTAACGAGCATCTTTAATCCCGGTGCTGCTATAGTGAGATTGATGGCAGAGACAGGGGAATTGCCAGAAAGTTGCACGTCAATTAACCTTGGGTATGCAGCAGCCAAACAAGCCCTTTGTCCAGGTTAAGTTGATTATAGATGCACTGTGACCAACTGCCTCAAACTCCTACCACTGGGCCTATAGTGGTTTGAATGAAAATGTCCTCCAAAGGCTTCTGTGCTTGAAAACGTGGTTCCCCAGTTGGTGGGGCTGTTTGGGGATGTTTAGGAGGTATGATCTTGTTGAAGGAAGTCTGTCACTGGAGGTGGGTTTTGGGTGTTAAAAGATTCGTACCATTTCCTCTTTGTTCTCTCTGCTTGATGCTCATGATTCAAGATGTGAGCGCTCAGATTCCTGTTCCTGCTGCCATGCCTACGGCTTACTGCCGTGTTTCCCCTGACATTATGGACACTCACCTTTAGGAATCATGAGCCAAAATAAACGATCTTCTATAAGTCTTTCTAGTCATGATATTTTATCAGAAAACTATGTGTCTGTGAGCTAAAATGTGTTCTTTCCTTAAGTTACTTCTTGCCAGGCATTTGGTTATAGCATCCAGGAAAGCAGCTAATACAGCCTCCCCACCATTACGCAAGGCAGGACTTATGAATCTTTAAGATTAAATCCTAATTTAATTCCCTAAAAGACCCTTCTCCCTCCAGGTAAGAGGAAAGCCCCCAAATGGTCTTTGCCAACAGTAAGAGAAGGGTCTACAGTTCAAACAACCAGACTCCCACCATGGACATTTAACAAATTTAAATATGGTGTAATTTGGAAAAAAATTTCTTGGTGTAATACAATCCACTGTGTACAAGGAAGTGTAATTACACTGAAATTCAACTCAGGGTACATATCATTTCTTCCAAGAAGATGGGTCCTGGAAATAGGCTACCTGTACTAGGTAAAGGGCCTACCGAAGGATCTGTCCTGGTCTCGGTCATACAGATAACATGGAGGTCATTTGGGCTGTTAGCCACCTCTGGTTCTGGTCAATCTTTATATCGACAGCTTATTCTCTTTCTCTTTGATTTATCAGAACGCAACCTCTTCCGAGCAGAAATTGCATCTGTCTGGTTCATACAACTTATGCGTGGTAGAGACTCTAAAACTGTAGACTTACTGAGTCCTTTTCAAGTCTGCACAACCTGTCAGTCTATGAGCACTGCAATTCATATTACCTGTGCCAGTAGGTCTGGCACCTGCCTTTATTGGTGCAGCAAATGCCCTTGTGTCTGTGCCATCCAGGATTTCTGTTGGAACAAAATGAAAACATGGTTTGGAGTGATAGCTCAATCTCTAAGGGTGCTTTACAATCATCAGGACCTGAGATTGATCGTGCAGAACCCAGAGAGAGAGAGAGAGAGAGAGAGAGAGAGAGAGAGAGAGAGAGCGAGCACTGGACACGGTGGTACTTGTTTTTAATATCAGCACTAGGGAGGCCAAGGTGGCAGACCCCAGGGGCTTGATGGCCAGCCAACTGAGCCTAAGTGTGAAATCTGAAATCTGGTCTTAAAATAGCAAGGTAGATGGCACTTGAGAAATAACAGCTGAACTTGTATTCTAGTCTCCAAATCATAATCCGCGCACATGTGTGTGCATATGCAAGAAAACACACATACACATACCAGAGTATAAACAGGGACCTGTGTTTATCTTTAGGGTGGTAGTTTAGCTATCTGTCTCTACTTACAAAGTAATCTTTGTCCCACTAATACAGTGTGGCACTAACATAGTAAGATGCTAATCCCCCACTAAAATAGTGAGGATGCTGATCTGTGACTCACGTGGCAGCTTTCCTGCACTGTGTAGCGGTCCATAGACTTCTGCTCAGGACTTGGCTGGGCTAGGCATTTCTTCCAGTTTGGGCCACTGGACAGTTTCTTTTGAGTAATTCCATGTGTCTATGGCCAGTAGACAGCCAGGCAGTGGGCATCTTGGTCCCTCTGCATCTTTTCTGGCAGACTTGTTTGGGCTAATTCTCATGGTGGCTTTAGAATCCCAAGCCGATGGAGCCCTGTTCCAGTCTCTTCTGTGTCACCTTGGCTCCCATTCTGTAGGTGACCTGGATAGTCTATGTGGGAGGCAGAGCTTCAGGGGTGGGACAGGTGATACACCTGTCTCTGTCTTGGTGAGGATGTCCATTGAGGACTTAGGGAAAGGTTGCTGTGTGGGGATGCCCCCATTGCCTCTTTGTGAGACTTATGATGAATACCTGAACTATTTTCTCAGCCTTTCTTTTGTATTATGGATGTAGAGCCAGGGGAGAGAGGGAAAAGCAAGGTAAAGAGGGGAAAGACTTATTGCTGCATGTATACATGCACATTGTGTGTGTGTGTGTGTGTGTGTGTGTGTGTGTGTGTGCCTGTGAAGCTGGAAGTGGGTGTCAGGTGTCTTCCTTGATTGCTCTCCACTTTATTTGCTGAGGCAGAGTATTTCAACTTAATTCAGAGTCCACTGAGTAGTCTAGTCTAGCTAGCCAACTTGTCCACGGGTTCCCATATCTTTGCCAGCTGACTACCACACCTACCCAACTTTTATGTGGGTTCTGAGAAGCTGAACTGTGGTCCACATCCTTGTGCAAGTGCTT